TCCGGCTGTTCTGTTCGAGGAACTGAATCGTTTCGCCCTTATTCATCGAAGAAGAGTAGAAAGTTCATCGTATAATAACCCCATATATCCGCTTAATTCAAAGATAAAATGCAAAAAGAAAAAATCCCACATTACGTGATTCATCCCTACTTCCAGTTAATAATGATTTTATCTTAGAAATGAGGCTGGGGATGATATACAAAAACAATAGCTACAAAAAGTCAAAACAAAACGGTAGACAAAATATAAAAATAAAAACAAAAGTGATAAGGTCGACTAAGTTATGCATCGAGATACGTCGGACATCAAAACGTTTAATAATTTAAATGTAAAGCTAAGCTTCCCGGTATCTTCGATGTTTCTCGATGATTTTACATTTTAGATACAAAGGAGCTTAGGGAATTGGAAGTTGAACAGAACTTCGTGTCGACCTCTCTGCCGAAAGACATAGCCTCATCTGAGGAGGTAGACAAACTCGACCCCGTGTATACAGGGTCTACGTGGAATTTTTGTCGGAACCTACGGGCTCGGAATGCCCCATATTAAAACCCGGCCTTGTGCCATATCCCCTCTTGTGGGGAGGCTTCGGGTAAATACCAAAGCTTAGGTAATTGGCGTTTGTTTTATTTCGTCCCACACTACATTCTATCATTAAAACCATTATTAGTCTGAAAAAGTCCTTTTGGTACACACAATGGTTAGTCTAACACAGATGTGTTGGGCGCCCAGTGAAGATCGAATGTCAGCCATTTATGGTAGGCATATGGTAGATACTCACAATCCTTAGTTTAGTTTGACACAGGGCTAGATGTGTTGGGCGTTCAGTGAAGATCAAATGTCAGTCATTCTATAGTAGATACACGATTGATATTTATAATTTTAAGTCTGACACAAGGCTAGAATTTTTGCGCACTTCATGAAGATTGAACTCATGAACCTTGTAATCATCTAGACAGACTACCTTGTTTACAATTACTATATGGCAGGCACTCAGTAAATTTTTACAGGGTTGGTATTTGTCTGGTAGAAGGATAAATAGCTGAGCACTTCATGGGGACAGAACCGACTCCACGGCAAATCGTCTAACAAGAACTTGTTAACCATTACACTAAGTTAGTCAAGATAGAAATCATAAGTAATAAATCTGTGTTATTTTAAGTTGGATTATACGGATTTTTTATACTTTTATTCCTCCCATATAAGGCTCAAAAGTCACTCAAACTAGAAGGTTTCTGAGTGAGGTTGTAAGGTTTTTTTTATTATTTTTATTAATTTGTTTTTTACTGTTTATCAATATTTTATCGGTAATTTAAGACCGAAAAATATTTTGGATTGTAAAAATAATAATTCTTTTTTGCAAGATAATATTGTATTAACAATTTTATGAGAATAATTATTTTCCAAGATACACGTTCTACTATTTAACCTATAGCAATGGGGAGATGGATTCATAACCTTCGCAAGGGTATTGCACGTAATTTAATGTAACGAACTTGTCTGGAATTCGAATTCATTTTCTCATTATGAGCGCCTAAAAACTTTGGCCTTATGTTAAACTAATCTCAGAATTGTAAATACTTATATTAGCTAAAGGAGCTTAAATTTCTTTATTTTTGAAAACATGCCATCTTTGGGAAAAAAAAAACTATGACAAGGTGGAAAAAGTTACATATCATTTTCCCAAACATGCAATACAAAGTTTGTTTTTTTTTATGTGAAATTTATATCAAGTTTAAGAAACCTATTTTTTTTTTTTTTTTCTTGGGATAAATTTATAAATTGCATTGGGGTGGGGGGTTTCTCAAAATAGCTGTGTAGGAGCGACCTTCTCTGTTCTGAATTGACCTCAAATGGAACCCAACTGGCAGTCTCACTTTGGAGAAACGCCTTCAGTCTTGCCTTTTAACCCTGGTGATACATTGTCTTCGCATACAAAATGGCAATATTCAGACACGAATGGTTGGGATTTTTGAATTCAAAACTTGTTTTTATCCTTGAATTGAATTCAAAAGGTTACAGAATGTTTGAAACGGAAACCATTACAACACAAATTATATATACTTTATGTGTGTGTGTGTGTTTTAAATGTTTACTAAATTCTAAAACGTTTTTTTTATTCTTTTAAATATTGAATTCTACTGTGTATTCAATTTCCATTTTCTGTTTCAAAGACATCGCCTAGAACGTTTGCATACACCTATTTTTTTAATCACTTCATCCCAAGTAAGGCAATAAAGTGACTAAGATGCAAGGGATAAAAGAATATAAGAGAATATGAGAAAAAAAAAAAAACTTTATTAAGGAGAGAGGACAATAAAAGAACAGGGATTAAGAAAACAGAAGATAGCGGTTGACATTGCATTTAAATGTCTGAAGATAAAAGTTGATTAGGAAACAAGAAGCCGGAAGAGAGTTCCACAAGCGAAAAGTGCGAGGGAAGAAACTGTTAGCATAGAACCTACGGTTACATCTAGCCAGATCAACTGTTAATTGATGAGACCTCGCCGCTAATCTAGTACTGCGCTTAAATTTATAAAGTCTAGGTACCAAAAAGGAATGTTCATCAGAACATTTACCATTAAAGTATTTATGGAAAAAGCACAGGGAAGCTACGTTACGGCAGTGGGGAAGTGTCTGGAGTCGAGTTGTCAGGTCAGGTCAGGACCAATAACATTGCAGGTTATTCTTTGAATTTTATCAAGAATCTTTAATAATAATATTAGCATTACTAATAAAATAAAATAAAAAACCAACACTTAATAATATTAACTTTGAACATGGACATAATATCTTGACCGTGTTTTGAAACAAAAAATGAAAACATTTTATAAAACATACATACAACAAACTATTTCTTATTTTAACAGTTAAAATATAATCCTTGAAAATGGCTAAATGTATAGCCGAAAGCGCTTGGATAAAAAGAACATCTGGACAGTTTTTATCTAATTTATCATCCGAAAAGAAAAAAAATATTAAATCGCCTGAGAAATTGTATAAAAAACTAAATAAAAGCACCTTGTCTGTCGTTTTCAATGAAATGTACACACACATATATATATATATATATATATATATATATATATATATATATATATATATAGGTACTGTAAAAGAAAAGCGCTACCTATGGTTTAAAATTTGTTGAAACTTTTATTTTACTTTTAATTTAAAGGTAATAGATTAAATTTAAAATTTCCAATAAACAGAATACTTTGCTGTATTTCAAAATGAATTTTAATTGATTGGATTTTCTAATCGCTAAAATCACTGATTTTTACCAATATTTACAATTCTCACAGCACACCGTAATATTCTTTAATCAAAAAATCATTGAAAAATAAAATAGATATTTCTCAAACTGTATTTGAGGAATATTAGCTGATTTAAAGCTTAATTAATCTGATTTGAAAAAATATTACCTTTAGTTGAAAATACAGCAAAAAAGCCTTTTAACACGGAGGGACGTGTTTTTACGATATGTTAACAACTCTATTGACAGCCTGGTGTTTGAAAAGAATATTCTACGGGGAAATATCCGTAAAAATTACTTGACCAATATAACGTGAGCGCAATTTTTTAAAATTTTTTTTGATAATTTTTTAACTATACATTAATCTCAAAATTTATGAAAATATTGCGTAATTTAATAGTAAGTAATTTAATATTTTATTGAATTTTAGGTAGTTTGCCTTTTAAATTTACTATAGTTACTGTTGTTATTCACTGATAATGTAAGAAGTAAAAAGCTCTAAGGTTATGTACTTTACAATTTTTAAATTTTATCATGTAGACACAGGCGCAAACATCAAGGGAGGTAACTAAGTTATTGAAATTCACTTCACACGTAAAAATTTAATTTTCGGATGAACACAAAAATTTTGTCTTAAAAATCATGAATACAGCGTATTTTTGACTTAGAAGAAACAAAACCCTGATGATGACATTGTGATGTCGAAAGTACTCAGAATAAAATGAACAGGCATCAACGTGGTAATTTTGTTTTTTCCTTTAACAAGGTACTACGATTAAGTTTTTTATTTAATTTTTCTTGTGCTCGAAGAAGAGCTTTCTTTTCTCGACACAGAGTGTGTCAAAACTGTCCAGATAATTTCGGCTATACTTTTAGCCATTATCAAGAATTATTTTATTTTTTCAGTTTAATCGAGTGTGTACGTCGTGTGTATATTTTTAGTGTTAAAGAGATTTTTTATTTTCCGAACACAGAAAAAAAGAAGATTTTTTTTTCGTAAATTATTAAACATCGCTTGAGAATGGAACAAAAACTTTTAACTTCAACTTAAATTTTAGCTTTTATTTCCGAAACATGGTAATTTTCGTGACGCGATGAACACATATTTTAAATAATAATATTATATTATGCTCTACTATATATCGAGCACTGTTTTTTAAAAATAAATGCTAAAGAACTGTATATTATAAATCTGACTGTTCTTTTTTTTATTTTAATATAAATATATATGTGTGTGTGTGTGTGTTTGTATCTATGTGTGTCTCTGTGTATATATATATATATATATATATATATATATATATATATATATATATATATATATATATATATATATATATATATATATAATTCATGAATCATTCATACAAAAAACAAATATAGAGGTTAATGATTTCTGGTTAGCAATGTCGAATTACTGCTTTTTAACTACAGATTTTCCATGATTTCATTCCAATGCTCATATCTGCTCGAAGCGTATCTTAACGTAAACAAATAACGTCATATATTATGAAAAGGACTAAGTCGTCTGTCTTTAAATGTTATAGCACGTCAGGTTATATGACGGTTCCGTGTAGCATACAGGTTCAATTCCTGCCGGACGACAAATATTTTCTATGCAATTTCTTGGACATTCAGGCTGGTAATTGTTGTTAGTACTGTTTATTATAAACAAAGCATTTACTTAAATATTTGTATCTATAAAAACAACGTATAAACAATAAATATATTAAAATAATTGACGGACTTAGTCCATTTCGTAATATAGATAGATAGATAGATAGATAGATAGATAGATAGATAGATAGATAATTACATACAAACATGCATACATATATATATATATAGATAGATAGATAGATAGATAGATAGATAGATAGATAGAATACTCATGATATTAATGCTTAAAAGGTAAAAGCATATATATATATATATATATACATGCACACACATATATATACATATACTTATATATCTTCACTAGTGTATTATTTCGTGTTTTTATTTGGGTTTGTTTGTATCATTAATTGTAGAAGGTTAGATTTATAATTAAATTTTGATTTATTTCAGACGAATCGCATCACAAGGAAACGTTTTCCATTTTGTCATAAATTTTCTCCAATATATATATATATATATATATATATATATATATAGGGGGAGAAATATTCATACACATACAACTTTTAATTGTATTTCCGACAAATGAATATAATTAACATTTGATATAATTAACTGTACGCATATGCATAAAAACTAAATATGCATAGAAAAGAGAAAAAAATTCCTTTAATAGAAATAAATGCCATTCATACATTTCAGCTTTTAAAACTTTAAAATTGCTTTAATACTCTAGATTATTCAAGCGGAATATTCTAGAATGTTTCATTAATGTTATCAGGAGGTATTTTTAGTCTAAAAAATACAAACAGTACATTCTGTAATTGATATTCGTGTAAGAAGGTTTTCACCATGGAAAGAGTTAAAGAAATGACAAATTCGCAAAAAGAAATGATTGTTAAGCTCTGGAAATATCGAGCCTAATCTGTATGAGAACAACAGGTGATGTAGGCTTGGATGTGCAGGTGGTGTAGTGAATAACGTCAAGGAAATGGGCCTCGAGAAGACAGATTTTCAATTCCCGTCCAGTTCGTTATGTTAACCCAAAAGCAAATACCCTTGGGAACGGCAGGAATCCACACCTTACCCTCACCCAGTTATGGATTTATTAGAAGAACGTATATTATTAAAGACGTAAATTATTCTAAAATCTAAAAAAAAAAAAATATTTTCTAACTTCCCTCAACACTCATGGTTCATGGAGTCTTTAGTATTAAAGCAGACAGGTTCGCTTATCGTCCGGTTCAAGTTCCTCCCCAGTCTGTTAAACAGGAGTAAAAGTTTATCTCTTGTATCCTGTCTAGGATTCAACACGGTCTCTTGAAGAAAAATAGAAGTTTATCCTTTCTTTCCTCTTTAGGATTGGGTTTCCGTTTCCTTCTACATCAACTCTTTATTTCTTATGTCTCCATCTGAAATCTGAAAGTAGATAGGATCACCTATCGTCCGCTTCACACTTCTCCCAGGTCTTTTGAACAGGAGTAGAAGTTTATCCCTTCTTTCCTCTTTAGGATTGGGTTTCCGTTTCCTTCTACATCAACTCTTACGTCTCCATCTGAAATCTGAAAGTAGATAGGTTCATCTATTGTCCAGTTCACTCTTCAACCCGGTCTTTTGAACAGGAATAGCGGTTCATCCCTTGTTTTCTACTTAGGATTGGGTTTCTGTTTTCTTCTAAATTCTTTTTCATTCTTTTTCACCTCCACCCCTTACTGGCATTATCGCCTTGCTTGCAGTGAAATGATTTCAGTCCAGCTGATGCAGTCTTCAAGTAGATCTTTTTGAATGCCTCTATCTTAACCGAAGAAAAAGAAACGAACAATGATGTAAAATAAAGCATTTCGGGTCGAGTGACGCCAAAGCTGGACAATGATGATTTCCGGTCTATAATAACAGTTGTGCTTGGTATTAAGGATGTCGTTTCTTATCCACTTTTGGCACGGAGCAAACTGTCCTTCCGGTAGTTCCGTTGCCACCCATTTGTATTGCCAGCCACATACCCAGATGTCGAGTTTGGCAGAGGTTTGGAAAGAAATTGTTCCAAGTGTCACCTACCTAACTACCTACCCCACACCCTGAGCCCGAGAAAGCGGTGAATACCACGCCTAAATATATTAGAAACAGTGTTCATATCTCGACGTGGCTTTTGTTTACACCTTTTGTTTCCTTGTGAACGTGCAGCGGCCGTTTCCCAGTTTTTGGTGCATATCGACTAAACGGGAACGAAGACGTAACTCGCGTTGGTTACTGGCCGGTCGATTGAAACCTAGGTGAGCTTGCATACGAAATACAAGTTACATCACAAATTATTTTCTTCAATAGCCCCCTCAACCCGCCGCAACGATGCTTGCTTGATAATGGAGACATTATTTTTCAAATAATTTTCTTTATACTTTCATTTTATTCCACGTCTACTAAACAGAATCGGTAATAATTTCCTTTTTTGCTTATAATCCACCTTTGTTCCTAATTACACTTTTTACATCATTCGGACTGTTGTCATGATCTTTGTTGCTATATTCACGACGTTTCGGCCGTTGTACTCTCCGGCTTTCTTCAAGTGATTGGAATTTTTTACGCAACCCGTTATTTCGTCAACTGGGGTAAATTGTTCTAGTTCCACTGCCATGCCTCTTTCGAATGTCTCATTTATCTATCTTTTAACTCTCAATGTTTTTCTTCATTTTTACACTAGCCAGGTATTGAACTCACAATTCTTTGGGTCTAGTCACTGAATCCAACCAACGCTTTCATCCACTGGGCCATATGTCCTTGAGGACCTTTATTCCAATCGTTAAGAGCGTATGGGACCCCGCAAAAAACAAAAGACCCGCTCGTTGACTTTCCCTATCTTTTCTAAGTGTCAGCAGATGTTAGATTGCGATGTGTTTATCATCTTTGCTAATTCTCGAGTACTTTGCCGTAGATGAGCGTTTATTAAAGACATCATAGCTTTCTCTTCAACGTCTAATGAACGCTCCGGACTGGGTTCATCTTCCAACGACGATTCTCCACAATGACACTTTTCAAACCAGTTTTCACAGTCATGACTCCTTGCCAATAAACCTAACATATTATTCAAGATGTGTCCACAGTGTTATTCCATTGTTTGCTCTCTCAACATCATGGGACATAAATGGACTATAAGACTCCCTTCATTAGTGGGGGTTAAAAAAGAAGACAGCCAAAATGTCGGGACACATAATGAACAAAGAATGCTTCGATAATTTATCCCTCCCTGGACATATCGAAGGCATGGGAAGCAAGGGAAAGCAGTGAGTCATCTATTCGAAATGTTTTAGCAAACGGAAAGAGGAAGAATTGCAACAATAACAGAGACACTTCGAAGTAGGGTAAGGGTCTGATTAACGGGGAAATAGTGTGTTCGAGCCTTTCATGGCACCCTATAAAAAATTCTACATTAAGTAACCCAACAAAAGTTGACAAAGCAATAAAGCCACTAAGATGCAAAGGGTTACTGAATGTTAAGGAATATGAGAAAAAACTTATTATGGAGAGAGAACAATAAAAGCACAAGAATTAAAATACAGAAAATAACGACTGACATTGCATTTTTGAAGGTCAAACTGAACTGGAAAACAAGAAGCTGGAAGAGAGTTCCACAAGCGAAAAGTGTGAGAGAAGAAATTATTAGCATAGAACTTACGGTTGCATCTAGCCAATTCAACTGTAAAATGATGAGATCTTGACATCAATCTAGTACTGTGCTTAAATTAATAAAGTCTAGGTACCAAAGAGGAAAGCTCATCAGGAAAATTACCATGAAAATATTGATAGAAAAGGCAGAGGGAAGCTACATTAAGGTGGCGGGAATGTGACTGAAGCCAAGATGTAAAGCCAGGACCAATAACATTGCAGATTCTTCTTATCAGGAATCTCGAAATATATAGCAGGAGCCCCAGACCATTTGTGGCAGCAATATTCTAAGCATGGACGATAAAATGTAAGTATGGAAGATTCGGTCAAGATAATTGCCTAGCATGACACAAAGAACCAAATTCCCTAGCAGCTGGCCTGGCAGTTGATTCAATCTTTTCACTTCATGTCAGCAGAAAACGTTAGCCTGAGAAGGTGCAATGAGTCTGGCTATCAAAGGGCAAAGTTCATTTGAACACTTAGCATGAAAGGATGCAAATGTAAAATCAGTCAACCTACCCACAAACAAAAAGGTGGAAGTCGTAAAGGAGAAGTCAGCAAAAGACTGGAATATGTGGAGAACCATTTTTTTTTTTTTTTTTTTTGTCTTACGGCATATCAACCTCAATGAGTTATTTAATGCCGACAAGATTTTTATTGCTGGAAATATCTCTTGTTTTCCAAAGATGTATTGCTGGAAAAAATTTTTTCCGAAAGTATTGCTGGTATTAAAACCTATTTTATACTTTCATAGTGACCCGTTTTGGGAAGGTTAACTATTTACCCATAGCTAGTACCCTCAAAAGTGCTGCCACCCCAGGTCAGGATGAACCTGAGCACACCAGCAATTAAGAGGTGGTTCTATGCTCCTCAAAACTTTCTGATCAGAGGCCTTGCAGCCGGATGTAGTTTATCGTCTTACCCAGGACGCGAACCATGATTGCCCATGTCATGAATAGACATGGTACTTAGAAAGAGAAAGTATGTGTTTGTGTATTTGTGTGTGTGTATGTGTGTGTGTGTATGTGTGTGTGTGTGTGTGTGTGTGGATTAAATTTTCATGCCAACCACAGATTTGTTGGTCTTGTGCGAGATTATCTTACATCTCACCCTGACGTAATGATTAACGAGCTAACTTAACAAATCGTTGCTAGTGTAGCGCGTTAGATTCTCACTAATCTTTAGAAGAATCAGATTAGACCAGAAATGGAGTCTTGCTGCCGTATCTGAGCTGAAGCTTGTCAAACTCAAAATTTATTACGGGGCCTGATAGCAATTATACCGGTTGCGCGGCCTTTTCCCACAAATGCAACGCTGCGAACTGTTCGCTTTTCTATAGTTATTTCCATGGCACCTGTTTAGATGTGCCAACGCTCTTTAGTTATACCAGTTCGGACCTTTACGGCTACGCCCACGGAGTCGAATCGCCCACATTTCCCCTGTATTCCAAATGTTCTATTCACGGTTAAACTCATGCTTGATTGCTTTCTTGAACACTAAAATTTTAACACGTATATCTACCCCCATTGTCCTCATAATCTTCGCTTCCTTCTACCTCTACTAACATTCAGTGACCCTCTACTACGAGTGGCTCTTTAGCCTTGTAGTGGG